TTAATGTTATACTTCCATTAAGTATAAAATAAGATTTTGTGGTATCCACTAGTGTAAATATTTTAAATTGAAGATCAAATTTATTCATTACATTCTTATAGGATCAAGTAGTATAGCTGTAAAAAAATCGTTAAAATCAAAGCTAAAATAATCGTTAAATTGTAAATTTTCGTTTATAACCGTCGAAAACTTTTGTTCTGTTACGTAATCTCTGAATGTTTGTTTTTTTACGATTTTTTACATATGCGATCTTGTAATATTTACAAACAAGTTTGACGGTTATATCATGGAAACTAATTTCGTAGAATGCATAAATTTGCCTAAATTTTGAAGTTGGAAAAGTAATTTGTGTTAAATTTTTATTTATGTTTTTCAACTATTGATTAGACAATATTTAGTTTGTGCGATGACATTTTCATTGTACCATCCTCTTTTTGTTTCTATATCGCATAGTTTACATGGATTATTATCTATTAAACCAAAAATGAAAAAATTATCTATTAAACCAAACAATTATTTATTTAATTTTTAAAAACATATTCTATTTAAATACTTATTATTTATTTATTTATTTATTTATTAAACCCAACGATTATTATTTTATTTTTTTAAATTGTAACAAAATTTTGTTTTGGGGGAGGGGGGGAATTTAAAATTTTGGAGGAAAATTTAAAATTTTCAAAGGGAATTTTGGGGGGATTTTTGCCGCCATTTTGTTTCTGTCGGATATAACCGACATTAATAAAAAGTTTATGTCGGTTTTTATTTTAAAAAAATGTTTTGTCGGTTTTAACCGACAATAATGAAAATTTTCCACAATATAACCCCTCCATCTCTTCCTTACTCTGGTGCTTCTCCCTTCCCCCTTTTCTCCTCTCCTCATTTTCTTTGTCAACACAAGCTCATTTTCTTTGGCATTAGTCTCAAGCTTTGATTCCACAGAAGGGGATATAATATTTTCAGCTTTCACAACAACACCATCTGCATGAGACTTTGAGCTTTCAAATTGCAACTTGGTATTGCCTCCATCTGATTTTTTTCTTGCTGTTCTTAAGGGATTTAAGAGGTGTCCCAAGTCCCTCAACCTTCAACTCATTTTTAGCCTTCTCGTTTGACGGTTTCTTATCTTTGTCTGCATTCTTTTGGTCTTGCAAGTGTTGTATCCAACAAGCTCCAAGTTCCCATCTCACAAAATTATCAGAATCTAGTTCCTCTTTCTCAAGCTTAGCAAGACTTTCTTCTAACACCCCCTCAACAAAAACACACGAGGCTGAAAGATATTTGTGTTCCAGAATTTGCATATGTGATGCCGGTTTATTCAGCTCTGAAGGTATTGTCTTGCGAAGTAGTAATCTTAAACTGCAAAAAACAAGATACTAGTTAGGCTCTTATACTGAAAACTGCATGACAAAAGGTTGGTAGCTTTACATAATACTCACTGACATTTGCGCACCCATTGATATTAAGGGCATTAGCACCGTTGCTCCCTTGGCTAAGAATTTAAGGGCCCTGAGATTTTCGAGATCGAGCTCTGGCGAGGTTTCGGATGGTGAATGCAGGGGATATGGAAAATGCAGAATTTTTTTAATTATTATTAATATATTTTATGTCGGTTTTATCCGACAAGAATGTTTTTATTTATTCATATAATAAATTCTGTCGGTTATATCCGACAAAAGTCTTGGCAGTTTATGTATTTTCTATCGGTTTTAGTATTTTCTGTAGGAAAATTCATTTCCTGAAGCAGGCAATTCTGTCACTTATTATATCCACCACTGCATCCATTTTTTGTCGAATTTTGCTTAAAATCTGACACTAATATACGTTTTTTGTCGATTTTTGGACCACCAGTTATAGATAATTTTGTAGTAGTGTGCCTCGCTAATCTGCCCCATTTGTAATGAGCAAGACGAATCTGTGGAGCATATGCTCTTGCTATGCCCATGGGTTGAACTTATCTGGTTTGGAGGACAACTTAACTACAAGGTGAATAAAAATGAAATTAATACTTTTGGCAATTGGTTGCATTCTTTAATTGGAACTAATATGGGGAACAAGCAGGAAAAGCACGATTAATGTCACAAGTGGCGTTCACTTGTTGGAATATTTGGAAAGAGAGATGCAATGCTATTTTCAATCAAAAAACTGTGTCACCATTGTAGGTTATTCAAAAGATCAATTGCGCCTATGCAGCTTTCATAGAGGCTACCAGAAGAACTCAAAAGGCTACAATTGGAATGCAGACAATTTCAAGTAACCATGGAAATCTTCTTGGTAATTCTCAACCTACCTCTGTTTGGTATCCACTTGATCTTTCATTTTTCAAAATAAACGTGGATGCTAGCTGGAAACAACTAAAAAAAGGCAATGTTGCAGTGGTGATTAGAGATTCAAATTGTAAGTTTGTTGCAGCTAGGAAATCTAACATAAAGGCTTCAAGGGTGAAGTGGCAGAAGCAATGGCAATCTTGGAAGGGTGTATGCTGGCTAAACAAATGGAGTTAGACAAAGTACTCAAAGGAGTTAATTTTATGCTTAAATAACTCCATATCCATTGGTAGATGGGAGACTTTTCCGGTTCTAAGGAAAATTATGCAAATGAAGGAATCTTTCCAGATTTGTTGATGGTCCTGGGTCCCTAGATCATCAAACATGGCGGTTAATTGGTCAGCGTCTTTCAAGAATTCGAAGATGAGAGATTCTACATAGGTCGATAGACCTCCATCTTCGATTGTTCATATCTTGAACAAAGATAAACTACCTTACCCACCTTAAGTCTTGTTTTTGTTCGAGGGGTAATGGGTGACACTGTGTTGTTGTTTTGTGTCGGCCCTCTGATCCCTTTATCACTCTTGTGTTGTATCCCCTATATTTTTGTTGCCTTGTTAGTCCTCTGAGTGAGCTTTTTTGTATTATTTGACTTTGCTCTGGTTATATAAATCCAGTTTACCAAAAAAAAAAAAAACACATTTTGGGAAGGAAGGTCCATGCATCCTTCTCTTTCCCTTTTTATTTTTTTTTGTTTTTTTTTGTTTTTGCCTTTTTCCATATTTTATCTGCTTTCTTTTCAATGAAAGTGGACTTGATCAAATATATGATGAAGCAAAGCAACACTAACAGTTCTCACAAGAAGTTTCTGCATTGTGCACGCACAGTCAATCGAGTCTCTTTCCCTTACCAGTCAGTCACTGTATATGTCTGAAGTTTTCGAAAGGTAGCATATTTGATGGGACAAATAAATCTCATCTGTACCTATTTTTTTCAGTTAAAATCAAACGGAGAGATGGGCTACTTTTTTTTTTTTTTTTTCATTGAACCATAATTAGTCACATTATGATTGTAGTCTTAGAGTGGGAATCCTCGCCGAATCCTTACCAGATCCTCTTTGTGAGGATCTCCAAAATTTTCAAATCACATTATTTCATCGTATATCATGCGGTCAAAAATTATTGTAAATTTTTTTATTTAAAATTGAATATAAACAGTATCTAATGAAAACTGAATGCACAATATACGATGAACGAATGTAATTAGAAGATATTCGGGATCCTCACAAAAAGGATTTAGCGAGGATACTCTCTCGTAGTCTTATCCTTTAATTTCGATTAAAATACAACTTAAAATCACATTATTCGGTGATTTATATCCCCCTTTTTTCTTTGCGTTAGAGGAGTTTTGTTTGTAGGTCAACTATATGATGAATTGTAATACCTAAACATCTGTTTTTACGAGTCTTGATTTAGCTACTAATGAGTTGTAGGGTCGGTTTAGACAACTAGAGTGTGCATGGGATTACCTTTTAGTTGCAATTACCTCATCTTATTAGGGTTACGGAAAAAAAAACACCCCAATGGATATAAGATTGAATTCATGATGATCTTTAGTCCTAACATTTTCTCTCTCCTCTCCCCATACAAATTTTAGAAAAACTTGTGTAACGGGACTCGGGTCACATAACTCTCATAAAATTAAAACATAAGACTTGTGTATTGTTCTCTTAGGCCCTATACTGGTCTTGCAAGTGTGATGACTCCCCTAAAACGACAATCCTACTAAAGTATATCACGACTTTAGGAGCTCATGGTATTAGATTATTCACTTGGGCTCTGTTTGACAGATCGGATAAAGGATCGGATATGATTAGTTATACGGACTCGGATGTTTGACGTTCACTCGTACTAAATAAGCGCCGGATTAATTTAACCGGTCGGATAGGATAACACGGTATACACCCGCTTAATAAAACCAACCAAAACGCCCAGATTATTTAGTCGGGGAAGAAGAATATGGGAGAGAAAGGGAGGGAGTTTGGGGGGTGTGGCGGAGAGAGTTGGGGAACAATTATTTGGGATTCTTCTGCAGTCGGGTCTGCAGTCGGGGAAGAAGAAGGGAGAGAGAGGGAGGGTGTTTGGGGGATGCGGAGAGATCTGGGAACGAAAAAATGATTTCACTTTTTTTTAAATTTTTTTTTTTTAGGTTTGATTCTTCCTATCTAGTATAATATCAAACACAGTATAAATAATACGGTCACTAGTCCGATACTGCACCAAACATCCGACTAATTTAGTCAGTACTATCCGATGACTATTTATCCTATTCGACAAAAATAGTCAGTACAGTCCGAACTGTCCTTAATTATTCTTGTTCTTTTGCCAATTAAAGAGGACTTCCCTAGGCTTTAGGAGCTCATGTTATGTTAAGATTATTAACTTAATTATTCTTGTTCCTTTTTCTGTCAAGACACTAACAACAACCCTCTTCTTGTAGTCAGTACGGTCAGTACGGTCAATACAAATTCTATATACACCAAAACCCAAACTCCTAGTTACTGTTCGTGGACAGTGGAGTGGCGAAAATGTCCTCCAAAAATTTTTCGCTCAACGTTTTCCTTCAGCTTTCTACAGTGCAAGGACAATTCTACCCTTGGTAAACACGCGTCTGTCATCGGTAGTTCTTCCGCTCCATTTCTTCCCGGCCTTTTGTTTGGGTTCCCTTCTCTCTCTTCATTTTCAGCTTTTCCTTATTTTGTTTGACTCCTGCTCTCCCCGTCTCCCTCCTCGCCTCACTCTTCTCTGCACCAAGCAGCTTGATTTTGGGCTTCACCATTTCTCTTCGAATCAAGGTCTCTATTTTCTCTCCCTATTTTCCCAAACTAGGTTTCCCTCTCTCTGTGTAAAAACCCTAGATCTCGCCACTGCCAGAAAGTCGAAGCTCGACCCTTCGAGCTTCAATCCGCCTTGCTGATCGCCTCCACCTAAACCCCTCTGGTAAATTTCCCAACTTTTCCCCCAATTCTTTTTTTCTCTCTATTTCTGCGTTTTGGAAAGGTTTCCGGTTTTTGCCTTCTTAAGCTTATGTTTCTGAAAGGACCTTGATTTTGTGTTTAATTCGGGTTGTTGCGTCGTGAATTTTGAATTTTATGTTGAATTTGGGTTTTTACATTGTGAATTTTGAATCTTTAGCCTGATTATGCTGTAATTAATTTTAATTTTGTGGGTTTGAGTGAATTCTGCACCTTTTCTTTTCGTTCTTTAATTTTTGAGTTCGATCTGTTAAATATGTGTGATTACTGGGTTTTTCTGATCTGTTAAAAATTGAGACTTTTGTTCTACCAAATTTGAGTTGCAGCAGAAGGAAGCTAGGAGGTGCAGCAACTGGAAGTCGGATTTCACTCCCGTGGCTGAAATTAGATCAAGTTTTGGCTGATTTGATCTGAGCACGCACAGATTGTTTTCGAGGTTTTTGACTCCTACCCTCCCAGAAACTTGATGTACGAAAATTTCAAATTTTTTGGTGTTTTTTATTTATTTTCAGTGTTCATTTCTGATTAAATTATTAGTTTTGATAAACCTATTTAGAATCTGATCTGGGTTTTGCCTGGATTCCAGAGTAAAAACCTTGAAACTTGAAGGTATAAAAATTTCAATTTTTATTTATTTTCAGTGTTACTCTCTGATTAATATTATTCTGGGTTTTGCAGAAGTGCTATTCTTGCTGAAGACCTGCCATGTAAGTGATTTAATTTTTGCTTTTCGAATTTCTACTTTTCATGCATAATTATGAATATGTAGATGATTTGTGGTAATTTTTTTTTACTTAATCTCCAATTCAAAGTGGGTGATTGCAGATTGATTGATCTGTTTCTTCGTCGTCGATTCAGCTACTCTCCTAGGTTCATTGCAGATTGATGTGTTTGCTGCTGGTATGTTTTGCTATTGTTTCTCGCACTGGTAATTGTGTGTTTTGTGTGTTGATTTGGCATCTCAAGCATATACGGATTTCTATCAGTCTTTGAAGTTTGATTGATCTAAAACTATAATATATGTTTATATATATCTATAATATATGTTTATATATATATATATATATATATATATATTCTCGAATAGGGATAGGATGTAAAACAGTGAGAGTATGTTTAGGGGTTAAAAAATTTTACTTCTCCCTGCAAGACAAAACATAGATTCCATTGCTGCAACTTCCATTGAAATTGCAATATCTACGATTAGATCATTGCTATATACAACTCTTAATTAGAAGCAGCAAATACAATTTTCAAACTTTGAGTCATGTTGCCTTTTCAAGCTTTCAATCATGCACTAATGATTCTGGAAAAGCAGTTGTGTCATTGTTTCTTTGAAATATCAGATATTCAATATAACAATGTAAACCTTGCTAATTAATGTTGTTTAAGTACTGATTGTTTCCTCGCTCACCTTGTCATTACCCTAGCGAGCTTCGTCTTGCCGTCTCCACAGCCCACTTCGCCCAACTCGATTCATCGTCTCAACCACCACCTCAACATCGACCTTCCAGGTTCAATCTCTGTCTCTAGAAATTCAGTTTTTCCTTTCTTTTGATTTATTTTTAAATTTTAAATGTTTTTGTTGATGATTTGGTTAATTGAATTTGACTAAATCAGGTGTTAGATCAAAGTGTACCTTCAACCCTCGAGAAGGTGATCTAGGTGAAGGTCGTAAAAACAAGCATTTGAAGCACGTGTATGTAGGCAATCTATATATTATTATGTGATACTAATCATTTTCTTTGTTTATTAGAGATTAAAAATGCAAGTGTACTAAACTGGAAGCTCAAATATTGAATAATATAATGAACACCCGAACACATGGTACAATTTGACACAATTTCGAGATTTTCTACATCTTCAACAATGTTTCAAACCCGCCGCAACGCGCGGTACAATTTGCTAGTATATAGCTAAAAGGCCCAAAGGGAAAAGATGGTTGTTGGAAAAGGGGGAGTTAGAAAATAGACGTGTCTTCAACTTCTGCCGAGAGAAGCACTTTCTTTGCGGGCCAAGAGGAGAAGCACTTAGCAATACATAGTACGTTTGTTTCTGCTAAATTCGTATTAAAAGACCATACAATCTCGACTGCAAAAAGAGGGAAATATTTACACAATGCTAATCATTGACAATTCCAGGAACTAGTGGTACAAAGGAAGCAAAGGTGCAAAGTTTGAGATGAAAAAGATGGTTAGATATCGTGAACGAAATGTGCAATATCGGACGAAACTCCCTGAACGAAATTTTGATCCAGCCTATCTGTCACACCTCCATATCAGAAGAAATAAGTACAGGAAGAGTAAATAAATTCTGGCGATCACGGTTAACTAGGCCAGGGGTTTGTAAAGGAAAATGCAAGGGAGACCATGCTTTTAGATCACATTTTATAGATCACGTGATGAGGTGATTGATGGTTGAATTCTTTCTTTAATAATTTAAAGAAGAAATTTAATCATTACCCGCCACATCATGTGGTCTACAAAATATGATTTAAGTAGAGGGTCTGCAGGAACCAATTTCGAGTAGTTGATAATCGTATACATGAAACCATTTAGAGAAATAAAAGTAAAGAGGGAATTGATGTTCTAGAATGTTTCTAATTACAAGATCATGATTCAAAACAGATGTTACTATGGACACACTTGTGTAAGCGTGTATAGATCTTAACAAAAGCATGTTACATGCATACCGAATACTGAAGCCAAAAGAAATGCTATCCAACACAAGGGCATCACCAATAGCTTTTGTCTCTGGTGTTTGCAGCAGATAGTGAGCCTACAAGGATTGCAAGTATCACCCGTTAAAACGCTGACAAAACCTTTTAATTTGTGTATCTACGTTCATTCAGGGATAAGCCTCTTAGGATTACTCAGGTTCTTTATTTTGGAACATTTTTTACACAACACAGGACAACAAAATTATCGCTATCTTAAGAAGGTAAGACGGAACAAGAAGCTCATTTACATGGAAGAAAACAAAAAAAAAAAAAAACAAAAAAAACAGAAATGTAGCACTACAACGAAAGACTTTCTGTTTTGAATTTTGAGATTTCTGTAGTCATAACATATCTTAATTCCCTTAAGTTATATATACAACCCTGCAATTAAGGCCTTTGGCATAGCCTCACCTCCTCCCCATGAACAATAAGGGATGAAGGAAGTTTCAGGGTTCCATGCCCCGTAGATGCAATATTGAAGAAACCTTTCAGTGCATTTTGCAATCATTTGAACATAATAAGACATTAATTAATATCGTGTTCACATAAAACCACGGGGAATGTCATTTTTAAATGTTAACAATTGAAAATGCTTGTACAAATTTTTAGTGATAAACTTGAATGTGGTTCCCTAGTATAGTTTATTAAGAGCACGGAAGCTTATCTGCATAAACAAAGCTTTATCTCGTACTAATTAGAAGAACATGCAAACAACGTAACAGATAGATCTAACTGCACTGTTTGTCAACGATGAACATGCATGTCCCTTCTTTCAAGCAACTAAAGCTTTTTACGAAATCTAGAATTCTGTGGTTGTCATGTGCAACACCAGAAGAGGGATCATGGGCTATAAGCAGGACGTGGAGTGTTTTGGAATGCATTTTACATTATGGTGCAGCTGGAAAAGTTTATCGTCATCTTCACTCTTCGTAAGAAGCAAAGAAATCAAATGCACTTTTGCAAGGACCCGGATGACAGTTGCCATTAGAGTTGCTCCTGAAACTCCGCCAAGAAGCGACCCTTCGCTTCCTGTTCTCGAAACTGCGATAAATTAAAAATAACACCATTGCTTAAAAACGTAAAGAAAACAAACAAAAGCATGTATTTTTGGAGCATTTCTCTGTAATTTTGCAGAAGAAATTAAGAGCTTAAAGGCAAATGAGCCGCCGCTGAGGAGGAGGAAGTCGTAGACTGCAGAGGTAGCCGGAGCCATCTCCGCCAGCTAATTAAGAAGTGCACAAGAATCGACGACTGCATTTTAGGTTCGGCTTTGAAGCTTGTGTTGCTGAGTACCAAGTTGCCACTTGCGAAAGGGATCGGGGTTGGAAAATGCGGGAGAGTTGAATGTGGGAATTCTGCGACGGTGTTCGTACAAACAATTTCTAGGTAGCTGGGAGGACAGGGAGACTGGGGAACCGGGGGCGAAGAACGAGGGAGCCAATTTCACTTGGGGTTTGACAGAAGCCCAAAATTTGGTGCGAAGAGGGAATTCCCGGTTGATAGTTTGATTTACAAGAATGACTTACATAGATCGTATAACATTATTAGATTAAGAATTGAGAGGCTTACATAGATCGTGTAATATTATTAGATCAAGAAGTCACGTGGCATAAACTCGTTCTATGTAAGTTATTTTCTTGATTGAATTATTGGTAGTCTCATTAATATAATAAAACGACTATAATGGTGTTGGGATTTATATCATTTTCTGCAACGAAAATGATAAAAAGTGTGGTTGAAAACTGTAGACATCAAAATTTCGGTGAAATGAATGTTGACCAATAATTAAAATTTCAACGCTCACGTATCACATAAATTTTACATGTAGCGTGTGACTCAACGAAAAATCGAAATAAATTGGAAAAGTCATCAAATAGGACACGTGTCAATACCTGGCAGAAATGATTTATTTCATCTGATTATTTAAATCCAAAAATCAAGTTTTGGAATTCTATAAATAGGAGGCCAAAGACATTCATAAAAAAAAAAAGAAGGGGAGAAGGAAGAAAGAAAGAAAGGAAGAAAGGAAGAAGCTTTGAAACTCTAAAGCTCTCAAGCAAATCCCGAAGGATCAAGAAAGCAATCTTCGTTCTTCGTCAAATCCACCTTCAAGATCAAGCCCCGACGGCCTTTGAGGAAAGTGTTCATCGTTCATCATCCACCTTCAAGATCAAGCCCCGACGGCCCTTGAAGAAAGTGTTCATCGTTCATCATCCGTTCATCCCAAGATCAAGCCCCAACGGCCCCTTTGGATCAACAACCTCAACAAATCCATACATCCAATCAACCTTCAAGATTAAGCCCAGAAGCCCTTGAAGATCCGCTCATCCATCAACCTTCAAGATCAAGCCCCGACGGCCCTTGAAGAACTTCCACCAACTCAAGATCAAGCCCCGACGGCCCTTGAAGAAAGTGTTCATCGTTCATCATCCGTTCATCCCAAGATCAAGCCCCAACGGCCCCTTTGGATCAACAACCTCAACAAATCCATACATCCAATCAACCTTCAAGATTAAGCCCAGAAGCCCTTGAAGATCCGCTCATCCATCAACCTTCAAGATCAAGCCCCGACGGCCCTTGAAGAACTCCAACCAACTCAAGATCAAGCCCCGACGGCCCTTGAAGAAAGTGTTCATCGCTCATCATCCGTACATCCTAAGATCAAGCCCCAACGGCCCCTTTGGATCAACAACCTCAACAAACTCATACACCCATTCTTCAAGATCAAGCCCAACGCCCCTTGAAGATCCATTCATCAACTGTTCATCCTTAGATCAAGCCCCGACGGCCCTTTGGATCAACAACTCATCCACAAACCCACATCCTACGAAGATAGAATCAGAGGATCAAATTACAAAGAGATTGTAACCCCAAAATCATTAATACAAAAAATATATTTTGTACACGTATTCTTGTCGCTTGTTTCAGGAATTTCTCGTGTTTACAAATTTGGCACGCCCGGTGGGATAATCTCTACCTCTCATCTCTATCCTCAAATCATCAAAAAACGTAAATGGCATCAAGAAAAGATCAAGCTGTTCCTGCAATCAAAGCAAAGAACAAGAACATCATCGCCGCAAGTGGTGATATTTCGGGCATCATAACCCGAAGTAAGGCAAGAGATCTTTTTGCCGCGGCTTCCGTCCCTGCATTAACTCTGTCAAAGGAACAAGAGCACCTGAGGTACGAGCCTGTGATCACCCTAGCCTCGCTAAGGGCATCAAAAGGGGAGAGCCCAAGGAAATACTCAGAGTCCTTACTCTCCGACGCTGATTCAAGCAGCAGTACAACCATGCAAGTCATGACCACTGGAGCAACTTCAATCGAGGAGCAGCTAGCTCAGATGAATGAAGCAATTGCAAAGCTCACACGGACTGTGGAAGAGAAGGACTTGCAGATTGCCGCACTCGTCAACCAACTAGATGCGATGCCCGACATGAAAGTCGACCCAATTGTTGGCCTATTAAAGAAAGAAGGCGACGAAGAAGAGGAGCCACCAGCGGAGAAAGTCGAAGAGAAGCCGAAGCTAGACTAAGCAACGGCGTCCATGGGATCTCTCTCTATCCAGCAACTACAGGAGATGATTGTAAGCACTATCAAGACACAGTACGAAGGAAGCTCGCATGACTCCGTACTATACTCAAAGCCTTACTCCAAGAAGATTGATGCTTTGAAGATGCCAAGGGGTTATCAGCCCCCAAAATTCATGCAGTTCGATGGAAAAGGCAACCCGAAGCAACATGTCGCCCATTTCATTGAAACTTGCAACAATGCTGGGACAGAGGGAGACTACCTTGTCAAACAGTTCGTGCGTTCGCTGAAAAGTAACGCTTTTGACTGGTACACTGACCTCGAACCTGAGTCTATCAACAGTTGGGACCAGCTAGAAAGGGAATTCCTCAACCGTTTCTACAGCACTCGTCGTACTGTAAGCATGCTAGAGCTGACCAGTACGAAACAGTGGAGAGATGAACCTGTCGTCAACTACATAAATAGATGGCGCTCCTTAAGTCTGGATTGCAAAGATCGGCTTTCTGAAACCTCTGCCATTGAGATGTGCGTTCAAGGCATGCAGTGGGGACTACACTACATCCTTCAAGGCATCAAACCACGAACATTCGAGG